AGAGAGAGAGAGAGAGAGAGAGAGAGAGAGAGAGAGAGAGAGAGAGAGAGAGAGAGAGAGAGAGAGAGAGAGAGAGAGAGAGATGGAGAGAGAGCATTACTGAGGGTAGTGCATCGTCAAGTAACCGGCAGGGTCCAATTTTGTGTACGTGTAAATTTGGTGTCATCAACGTCCAGGAGGGGATAAAGAAAGTGTGGGATGGTACACAGAGAAAATTGGTAAGCGCCCTGGACAGGGTGGACACAACRAGCACATGTAAAGATGCTCTGAATTTAACACCAGACTACTTTCGCCTTTGACGGAGAAGGATGTAAAAGAACAGGTGGCATGTATTTGCTTGACGAAAGCATACACTGATGTTGAGGCAGAGGAGGGGTAGAAGGTAGGAAACGTGAGTGGTGGTGGTGTTTTCTTTTTTCTTTCCTTATTGTAATCCCTTCTTCTCCCCCCCCCCCTCCTCTCCTTAAATCACAAAAATGCAACTTAAGAATGATGATAAATTGCAAACCTTACTTTTCTAGCGTTCTGCTCTAGTGCAAGGAATATGAGCGAGAGCGATAGACAGAAATCCAAGTTGCCAAATCATGAAGTAGCTCAGATAGTCATGAACCAAGCAGAGAGTGCAATGCACCAAGATACTGTCCAAATAAGAGCAGTWCAATGAMCTCCAATGTCAATGTTGCCACTCTCTGGTCACACCAACACTGTATCCACTGTCGCACTTACTGTCTGGCGCCCAGCACCCAGCCTATCCCACTCAGCCTATCTAGCCTGTCTACATTCTTGCAACTGGATCACTCTAAAGTCGAAGACCAATGTACGTGACATCAACACCAATGCCGATCACCAGCATACACCAGGTACGTTCTCTCTCTTCTCATCATCACCCCTCGTCTCCCCACATCATGCGCCTCCTACCCGAAGACCACCTTCGCCATCACCTGCCTTGCCCCCCTGTCACCAGCATACACCAGGTACGTTCTCTCTCCTCTCGTCATCACCCCTCATCTCCCCACATCATGCACCTCCTACCCGAAGACCGCCTTCGCCATCACCTGCCTTGCGCCCCTATCACCAGCATACACCAGGTACGTTCTCTCTCCTCTTGTCATCACCCCTTGTCTCCCCACATCATGCGCCTCCTAACCAAAGACCACCTTCGCCATCACCTGCCTTGCGCCCCTGCAGCCCGGCTATGGATGCTGTGCGCCCACTGCCCTTGCAGCGTTCCTCACCTCAGCGCCAGTGCGTGTGTTTGACCAGCAGCGCCCATGCAGACACTTGCACAGCAACGCAGCGGCGTGCCCGCATTGCCTGCCTAGGCCAGAATGCCTCTGCCAGAGGCTCACACTTTTCTTTATGGAAAGTGCGTCGTGGCCGGCTGGCCTGGCCAGGCGTGTGTGGAGGCCCAGTAGCTTCAGTTGGGCCTCAGGTATCTGCGCCCAGCCCAATTCCCAATATTGGTCTGGGCGTTGTGCAGTTACGGACATTCAGGCAGCCACACAGCCTCCACGTGTTCGCGGCTTTCTCATTGGCTCACGGCTCATGTGTGACGACAATGCTGCTTTCTCATTCGTCCGTGGCCACTGTGTGATGTGTCGGCCTCACACTGCGTGTGCCCAGGGCGCAACCACCCGGGCCCTGGGCTCAACTGTACAGCGCAGCCCATGTTTCTGGAAAGAGCCAGAAGGCTCACATTTCCCTGTAACCAACTGGCGTGCTGCATCTGTCTGAGTACCMACATATGGAAAAATGCCGGAAATAGGCCTCGCGTGGATATTCAGGCCCGCCTTCACTTAGGGCGGGCACGGGGCTTGCTGGGGCCCTCAGCCCAGAACACATGCATGGCTGACAAGGGCCCCGCGAGGGCTCATTCCTCACATTCCATCCCCCTTAGCTTCAAAAGTCCGCTGAGATGTTTCTACGCAGATGCTTTCCCCTTTAATATCTGTTCGTGTTCTGCCACGATCTGAGGGGCTATCTTGACAAGCTCCTCTCTTGTGAACCAACGATCTTCTTTCGGATCCGTATGATGCCTGAACCTGACCGGGTACTCCCTCACATGTTTGGGGGGTCATCCTCTGCCCACTGGCTTGGGAACAGGCAAGTCTGTGTTCCAGAATAACGTCGACGTCYGCGTGGCCATCCATGGCTGGGGGCAGCATTAACCTTCTTGATGGGAACAGATCTGTCTCAGCRAAAGGTGCGAGCTTCAAAGCGTGAAATACAGGGTAAATGTGGAGATGACCATCCATATCACTACCCACAATATCTAAGCCTTCCCAAAGACCCCAATACTGAGGCATTAGTTTTCTAGAGATGCCAAATTCCTGACCCAGTTCGCTAGCCTTCACCCAGACACGTTCCCCTACCTGAAAATGTGGAAATATGGACTGTCGTCTGTGTTTGTTCTCAGAGGCAATCATAGCCTCTTGAGACTTCCTAATGTGCTCGACAGCCTGCTGCAACAACTTTTCATACTGGACACCGMACTCTCCCAGGCGTTGCAGCTGGTCGGTTTTCAGGAAGGAGGAAGTCTGGTGCAGATCTAGGCTTCCATCCCAAATGCAGCTCATTCCGACAGACGTCGTAGTGAACTGCGTTGTTATACAGACTGGCGATTAGAGGCAGTTTCTCATCCCAATCATCCTGGTTGGGCTTAATGTATTGTCTCAGCAAGTGTTGCACCTCACGGTTCATCTGTCCCTCTTGACCGTTAGCTTTGGGATGAATCCCGGAGGTCATCTGAAGTTGGCTGCCCATTTGTTCAGCAGCCATCGTTCCACCTGTCGGGGACGTCACCCGATGACATTTCCTTCGAACGATGTCAGACAAGAAAAAAGAAAAGAAAAAAAAAATCAAATGCGTTTGAGGCCTTCAGCCAATAGGGTGCCGCCACGATCCAGATTCTCGGTTGTAACGTCTCTCTACCCATGTCCATCATCAAAGGATCTTCCTTGTAGGCATCCACAAATGATCGAGTTACATCGTCAGATAAGCTGGACTCAATTATCGGCGCACCTAGGTAGTCTTCCCTACGGGATAGCGCATCAGCAACCTTGTTGTACTCTCCTTTCACGTAGTCTAGCTTGAAGTCATATTGATCTAAGACTTCAATTGGGCGTTTGAGTGCAGAGAGAACAGGCTGCGTCTTGGTCCACTTGACTGTCTGACAGTTCTCAAGTAGAAGAACCGTTCCAGCAGATAGTGCGTCTAGTGGACAAGAGCCTTGTAACGGGCGTAGAGTTCCCTTTCGTAGGTGGACTTCGCCAACTTCTTTGATGGCATCTTCTTACTCATGTACTCGATGGGCGTCAACTTTTTCCCTTCCTGCTGGGCCAGCACTGCCCCTATGCCATATTGGCTTGCGTCAGTGGTTACAAACTTACAATGAATGGGCTCTCCGGATCGGGGACCATGAGAACCTCATAATGCATGAGGGGATGCTTCAGTCTTTTGGAAGCAACCTCACATTTGTCTGTCCATTCCCATGGCATGTCAAGGCGTGTAAGATCAGTCAGAGGGGCGGCCACCGTATTWTAGATCTTCRCRAAGTTGCGRTAGTAGTCGGTCATCCCTAAGAAAGATMWGACCTCTGTCACAGACTGAGGTCGTGACCACTCRTGAATGCTARTCACCTTGGCATTTTYGGGCCTTATCCCTTCGGCGGATATTTCATGACCCAAGTACAAAATTTCAGTGTGACCGAACTCGCATTTCTCTAAATTGATCTTATACTTGTGTGGTCGTAGGAGTGAAAGTAYGGTTTCTACATGTTGGCCATGCTCCTCAACTGTTCTACTAAARATAAGAATGTCGTCGGGGTACACGACGAYGAACTTATCCAAGTAGTCATGAAAAATCCTATTCATGGCGTGTTGGAATGTGCCCGACGCATTGCAAAGGCCAAAGGGTATCACCCCAAACTCGTACAGATCGTACTTGGTTTGAAATGYGGTTTTGTGTTGGTCCTCTAGTCTAATGGCAATCTGATGGTAGCCGGATTTTAAGTCTAYCTTGGTAAAGTACCTACATCCCTGTACCCTATCTAACAGGTCGTCGATKCGTGGTAGAGGCTCTGCGTTCTTAACGGTGATGGCATTGAGGCCTCTATAATCACTGCACATCCTCAGTGTCCCCCCCCTTTTTYGGGACAAATAGAACTGGTGAGCYGAAAGGGGAGGTGCTTGGCCGAATCCAACCCTTYTTTGWAAGCTCTTTCAGTTGCYGACGAAGCTCATCCAACTCGGTCGGAGCCATCCTATGGATTCRTCCCTTCAATGTYTTGGTACCTGGGATGATCTCTATGGCATGGACAACCTCCCTCTCTACGACTTCTGAAGGCACCTCGAACATATCAGGGTACTTAGCGACGATAGTTTTTATCTTTGGGGGTGTTTTAACAACCTCCCCTTTCTCAGAGACAAAAACTAAGTACATACCCTCCTCTTGGTTCTGTTTATAATAATTGTAGAATGTTGATGCACACATACACCCATAAGTGTCTATTAGACTGCTAGCCTTATACTTCACGAGCCTGATTGTCCTCCCTTTCGATAGTACATGCTTAAGCACCTTTCGGTTGTAGTTGAATTGGGCTTTGCAACCTCAAGTTAGTACACACCTAACAACATGCCAAATGGCAAGTCGTCGCTAACTAGGAACAAAATCCTATGATTAAGTTCCACACCTCCATAGTAGAAGGTGTTGACTACGTCTTTGACGTAGTCCTTTACAACCATGAGTTCTTTGTTGGCTAGGGTAGATGCTACATACCTACCCAAGYGCTGTACCCGGTCCCCTAGGCGCAGTCGCGACTTAAGAAGTTCCGCGTGGAGCTAWTATCCACGAAGGCACCACACTTGCGGCCACCTACACCGACTTYCATGAGGAAATGCTCCCGTCTAGGACCTTTGGATAATGCCACCCAAGACTCACGAGGGTCCCTTGCAGACCACTCGATTTCCAAGTCTTCTAAGGCCTCAGATACATATAACGAACGGAGTGTTGTTTGGTCCAGATGCATTTGTGGAGTGACTAGAGAGTCAATAGCTTTGGCCAACTCCTGAAGTGGCGAGGGTACATCAGCCACTTCAGAATGAGGAGAAACAGCTATTACTTCTATTGGCGGGATGTGTTTCCCTGATTGGAGCTCGTAGAGGYACCACTCTGGGCGAAAAATCCCCCAAAACCACCCTTGGGAGGAATCTTTTCAGAGACTTCCACGTTCTTGTATATGAACTGCTGATGGYCATATTCGCCCCAGTTAATGCAAGCTCCTTGCCAGTACTGGTCCCTCCACACATCCGGATCCAGGCCAGCCCTCACCCAAGCCGCTTTCTTGTTTAAGTTCGGAGCCTGCCCCTGACTCTTTTGCTGATCGCCCTTGCCGCGACCAGCTGCCTTTCCTTTGGTTATGGTGCCGAGGTTGCCACCCTTTGCACTCTCCTCGCCACCTATCTCTGTTTCCTCCACAAGATCAAAGAGATCATCGATCTTGGTTTGATTCCCATT